TCAAGAAATAGCCAGGAAATCAAAAAAACGTATTGCAATGGGAAAGTCTGCAGTTAGGGACATCTCTAAAGTACTCAAGAGCAACGGTGCCTCTCTGGAGACTAAGGTGCACCTGATACAGGCCATGGTTTTTGCAATCACTTGTTATGCATCAGAGAGTTGGACAATGACTAGGGAGGATAGAAGGAGAATTGACGCCTTTGAGCTGTGGTGCTGGAGAAGAGTATTGAATGTACCATGGACTGCCAAGAAAACAAACAGATTCATCATAGAGAGGGTTAACCCAGGCTGCTCCTTGGAAGCAAAGATTCTGGGGCTTCTCCTGACATACTTTGGACATATTGGAAAGAGAGACAGGTCTTTAGAGAGGGACATCATGCTGGGTAGAGTGGAGGCACAGCGCAGGAGGGGAAGACCCTCTATGAGGTGGATTGATTTAGTGACTGAGGTATTCGGGGTGGATGCATCAGAGGCAATGAGATTGGCACAGGATAGAGTAGGGTTTAGGGCTGTTGTACATATGGTCGCTATGAGTTGCAAACGACTTGACAGCACATAAAAATAACAACAGCCATATTATTAAGAACCAGTGATAATGAAGAAATAAATTTAAGCAGCAATTGAGACATTGCCAAAAAATAAGGCTTCTTGAATCAATGAAATACTAATTGATTGATTTCAACTAACAGATTTAGTCCTGGATATGTTCACTAGTCTCCACAAAAATTAGAAGAACAGCTAACTACCCAATGAGTGAAGGAGATCAATATTTGTTCCCACTCCCATGAAATTTGACCCAAAAGAATGTAGAAATTATTGAACAGTAGTAATTACTATTTATAAGCAGGCATGGCATCCACTTCCTAAACAGTATGCCTCCAGAAACTCTCTGAACTTTGATAAATATTGATAGTTATAGAAATTCTTCAGGTCTTTTTTTCATAGGGTCAATATGAGTAATGCTTGACCAAAGGCAATCAGCAGCAACCACACGAATCATTACTATTAAAAAATACTCCTCTTGCAAAATGGCTAGTGTTATTGGTAGGTGCCGGTAAGTTAAGTATGACCCATAGCAACCTTATGAACAACATGTATGAAACTTGCCCTATCCTATGCTATCTTCACACTTCCTGACACATTGACACATTAGAGCCCATGTTGCAGTCACCATGTCAATCCACCTAGTTGAGGGTCCTCCTCTCCTTTGTCAACCCTTCACCTTTCTGAGTATTACATCCCTCTCCAAGGAATAGTCCCTCCTACTAACATAGCTGAAATATGTGAGACAAAGCCTCATCATCTTTGCCTCCAAAGAGTGCTCTAATTGAACCTTTCTCAAGACATATTTGAAGAAAAACTATAAAATGGATAGTATAGTATATCAAAAGAGAACTAACAGTAGTTCAAGCTGGGTTTATAAGAGGCCATGGCACCAGCGATGTCACTGCTGGTGCCATGTGGATCCTAGCTGAAAGCAGAAAATAAAACAGTAACATCTGTGTTTTATTGACTATACAAAGGCATTTGACTGTGTGCATAAGACTATGGAGAAGAATGGAAATTCCAGAACCATTAGTTATGCCCATATGAAACTTATATCTAGACCAAGAAGCTCTTATCCAAATGGAACAAAGAAACACTATGTGGTTTAAAGTGAGGAAGGGTTTGTATCTGGATTGTCTCCTTTTTCCATATGTATTCTATCTGTATGCTGAGCAAATCATTCGAGAAGCTATATTCTATGAAGAAGAATGTGGCATCAGGATCATAGGAAGACTCATCAAAAACCTGCATTATGCAGATAACTCGACCTTGTTTGCTCAAAGTGAGAAGAACTTACTTTCTGTTTGCTGCAGAAACTAAAAAGTGTCTGCTGCAGAAGATAAAATCTGGAGACTTCAATATGGCTTATGTGTCATCATAAAAAATAAGAAAGTCCTCACCACTGGATTAAACTGGCAGGCAACTTCATGATGAAAAAACTATTGAATTTATCAACAATTTCATTTCACTTGGGTATATAATAAATACCTTTGAAATCAGCAGTCAGGAGATAAGGAGACATATTGTACTGAGAAAAACCTGTTATCAGGGACCTTTCCAAATTAGCTAGGAGTAATCATGTCAGTTATTAAAAATAAGGTCTATCAAATTCAGGCCATGGTATTTCCCATCCTTGGCTATGCATCTGAGAGCTGGACAGTGAATAGGAATACAGAAGAGGAGTTGATGCCTTTGAGTGTGGTGATAGAGAAAAATACTGAATATCCCATGGATTGTCAAACAAACAAACAAATATCTCTTGCAGAAAGTGTGTTCAAGTGTTCCTTGGAGACAAGAAGGTGAATCTTTGTTTCACATTCTTTGGACATGTTGTAAGGAGGGGCAATTCTTTGGAAAATGCTATCATGCTTCTAATGGTGGAGGGTCAGCAGAAGAAAAGGATGATCTTCAATGAGATGGATTGACATAGTGACTACAGCAATGGGCTCAAGCATGAGAGAGATGATGAGGACAGGGCAGGGTAGGACAGGGTTCAGATATGTTCAATAGGGTTTCTAGAAGTCTTATTTAGAGGTACCTAGCAACAACAACAAGAAATCCTATAGAGCAACAATGGATGTATCACTGGTGTTGCAGTTTTTAAGTGTTTGGCTGCTAAAGGAAAATGTTGAAAATGTTCAAACGCACCAGCCCTCTGGAGGAAAAGATGTAGCAGTAAGCTTCAGGAAAGACTTATAGCCTCAGAATCTGTATTTGACAACTTTCCTCTTTCCTCATTTTACTATGAGTCAAATTGACTTGACAGCTGTGGGTCTTGTCTATACAAATGAATTAACTATTAATAACATTTATTCCTAATTTTGAAAAATTTATAAAAATAGTGATTTACATTAAGGAATTAAGACTCAATTGTTGCTTTGAGAAATTGAACATTTTTGTGGATTAGTCAATGAACACCTAGAGTAAATATTTGTATATACATTTTAAAATATACAATTCAATTTTACTAGACTCTTTAAAACTCTTTCTTTCTCGTTGATTTGTGTGTATATATATAGAGAGAGAGAGTGGAAAGATATATATACCATCCTCAATTATTGATTTGGGGACACTATTTTTTTTATTTCCAATATATGTTGGTCAAACATTTTTTATGAGTATAATTTATATTTGTTTGGAGAATAAGTATAGTAAATGTTATGAGTTTTAATGTACCTTTATCAATACGTAAAATAACAGTTTCTCTTGTTGAGCCCATGTTCTTCTAAGGCTGAAGTTAATAACACTGCAATGATTTATTTTCTTTTCTATGTGCTTCAATATTGCTTTTTCATCAATACTTTTGTTGTGAATATTTTCAGTATTTTTGTGTGTTTCTTGACAAATATAGCATGTTCATATTTAGTAGCAACAGCATGACTCTTTAACTCATTTCTTTATGATCAGAAGATATGCTTGACATTATTTCTGTAATTTTTGTTTCATGTTCTTTCAACATAATTGTTCTCCTTGTTTCCTCAGATTTAACTTTTCTGCGTGTCCTAAAATGTATTAATTTGTTTCCATCTTTTTCCAGACTGTTGTTACAGTTGTTGTTAGGTGCTGTCAAGTCAAGTACGACTCAGTGACCCTATGAAAAATTGATCTGAATCCTGTCTATCCTGTGCCATCTTCACAATCTCTGGCACACTCAAACTCATTGCCATAGTCATTGTGTCAACCCACATGGCTGAGGGGCTTCCTCTCTTTTGTTGCCCCTTCATCTTCCAAAGCATGATGTCCTTCCCCAAGAAATAACTTCTCCTAGCAACATACGCAAAGTATGTGAGATGAAGCGTTACTACCAAGGAGATCTCTGGTTGCATCATCTCCAAGACATAGCTGTTCTATTGGCAGTCAATGGGATCTTTAGCACTTTACTCCAACACCACAGCTCAAAGGCATGGATTCTTTTGTCATCTTTAGTCATTGTCTAGCCATTAGATGGAGAGCAAATGACTGAAAAGACCAAGGCCTGAATTGGGTCTATCTTAGTCCTCAAACTGACATCATTACTCCTCGATAATTTGGAGAAGACCCTGACTACAGAATTTCCCTGTGTAATTTTGTTGTTGTCTTCTGATCTCCAATATGCATGCATCTCCATGAAGATTGTTAGTCTTTAATTTAGTAGTACGGTGAGCAATATTGTACTTAGATCTTTGTTAATACATTGTTGTGTTAATGAATACATAATAACCACCAATATTCCATTAATCTAGTGCAACAGACTTACTTCATGAGTTTCTATATATACATAAACTATAGCTTATTATGCCTTTGAACTGTAGTGTCATAGAAGAGTGCTGAATATCCCATAGAATGCCAAAATAAGTAGATAATGTCTTGAAGAAAGTTTATCCAGAATGTTCCTTGGAGGTAAAGATGATAAAGCTTCATCTCACATACTTTGGGCATGGTGCTTGGCGAGACTATATCTTGGAGACAGCTAGGAGGGTCAGTGAAAGAAAGGAGCACCCTCAGTCAGATAGATTGACACAGGGACTGTAGCAATGGACACAAGTGTGTAATACTTGAGGAGCATGACACAGGATAGGACAGGGTTTAGATCTCCTGTTTATATGGTCTCTATGAGTAATAGTGGATACAAGTCACTTAACAAAAACAGTAACAACATTTCTTATCTTCTTAAATTCAGTATTATCAGAGAAGGGTTTTCTTTCTTGATCATTGTTGCCATTTTTTTATAGCTTTATTTTGGCAAGAGTTTTTCTCTTATTTTTTGCTAGTACTTTTAAATATTCTTAGATGATGTTATATTAACAAATACTATCCAACTACTAATTAAGTCATATACTTTTTTGGTATTAGTGTTTGTTCATATTTTATTTAGTATTTATATAAACACAAAGTTTTGAAGGTTATTTGTATTAAAATTTTAGGAGGAAATGAATTTGTTTTGAAAATCTTATTGTTGGCTCATATTTCTGTAGGTCTGGCTCCTGGATCTTGTCATTGCAAAAATGGCTTTGGAGGATTGAGCTGTGATAGATGTGCGAGAGGTTACACTGGCTACCCTGATTGCCAGTCCTGCAACTGCAGTGGCATAGGAAGCAGAAACGAGGATCCTTGTTTAGGACCCTGTAACTGCAAGGTACATTTTGATTCTGGGAACAGCCTACTGACAAGACAAACATAATTTTCTTTTGCTGTTCTATTAGGTATACCGGCATTAAACTATTTTAGCAACTTCTGTAAAGATTCATGATCAAGTCTGTGTTACTGTATCTAATAAAATGGTCACCAGGTTCATTGAATAAATACTATTAAGTCCTCTGCCATTTCTCTAAACACATACAAGTACGCAGAAGAGTTTGTTATTTTTGTTGTTGTGTACTGCAGAGTTGGTATCAAACTCATAGCTGATCTTCTGGTGAGTTTTCAAAGACAGTTAATTACACAGGAGCTTGCCCATCTTTCTCCTCCAGAGAAGCTGGTAGCCTTGGACTGCATCCATTTGGGTCTGCAGCGAAGCTTCTTGCCATTGATAACATGCCATTCACAACAGCAACATTTTCTTGAAAAAATACTTACAGATAATCGACTTTATTTGTTGTACTTGCTTTACTAATAGCTCATCACATTAGCAACAAGGGTACATTTCCCTCATAGCTTCTTATACACATAAGGGAAATACAGAGACATATACAAGTCTCCAGTGAAAAGATGGATCACCTTTTGCTATAGTAAATCAATTCAATAGAATTTTTTATCAAACTCTGCAAAGCTATGATTCCTATAATTAAAAATTACTATATTTAAAAAAA